AATTTTCCTTTATTTTCAGTATTTCAATAGTAAATTCTACAAAAAGGATTTGAAGCTTTATATCTTCTATTAATTATCTGCGAGCGCTTTCGACAGTTGGTAGTATTGGTGCCAGATACGAGATACGTTTCTCCGAAAAAATTACAGTCTGAAAATTCCGTATGGTTCCAATTTAAAAGGAGAAATAACTGTGGGAGAAAAATTTGAAGCTGAACAAATTTGATGTGAAAAGGTACATTTAGACATTTTTGCAGAAGAGTATGTCTCGTTAAAAGATGGTGAAATCATTTCACACTCCAGTAGATTAGTTCAGTTCTCCGTTATATTCAGAGACGGCTTATTGAGAGTTGGAGGTAGAACAGATTTTTCGACAGAACTAGACGAGGAAATAAAATATCCTATAATTCAAGACAGCAAACACAAATATACCCATATTTTGATTGGACATTTCCATGAGAAATATGGACACGAGGAAGAGAAGTGGTAATCAACGAACTGCGACAAATTGACTGGATTCTGCAAATTAGACAGGCAGTCAACAAAACGATGAATTGTAATTTCTGTAGAAAACGATAAGCTAAGCATAAAGTGTTTGAAATGGGTCAGCGTCCGGAATATCGACTGAAAAGACCACCAAGGCCATTCTATTCTGTGTTAATGGACTATTTTGGACCGTTTTTAGTACGTATTGGTACGACAACAGAAACAGAAACAAAAATTGCTGAATTTGGTGACAAAATTTCCTACAAATTATTTCATTTTTTTTTGTTATAATAGTTACATTACATAATAGTTACATTACAATTATTTAACGTTATTTCGCCGTTGATGTGGGAGGAAGACGGTTGAATACACGTGTACTCTAAATGAGCCATTACCTACCTGGTGTAAAACACGTAATGATTACTTTGAAATGAAGGGAATACAAAAACAACTTTATTGTTGGCGCCACAATTATTGCGTAAATATTTGATGTACTCACTGTTAGTACTGTAAATCATGATATGTTAAATGAAAATTCTCATCAACAAGTTTTCCGGTGCTGAGGTTATCTCAATGATATAAAATATAAAATCATTTGCCCCTGGTTGTTTGTTGTCTGCACATTGAGTTCTTGAATATTTTAATATCAAATTCGATAATGTTGTTGACATATGTACTTGGCGGTTTAATCATTCATTGTATTTATTGTGCAGTTCCCACGAAGCAGTATATGGCAGTTGCAGGTATTTTACTTTCCATGAAAAAAAAGTTCCACTTCACTGGAAATATTTCATAAAAACTGTAATTATCACGTTCATTCATAGCCGGATCATTTGTTTTCTGTCATATGAAATATTTTTCTTGTCATATCATTTATGGAATTCATTGTTCAAAACACATTTTTGGGAGATTTTCATACAATCATTATCACCATCAAAATGGTTTTTAAATGATTCGAATATTTTCTGCCTTTTAGACAAATCATATATTTCATATATCGTCCTGATATTCTCAAATATTGATCTTCATCTTTTATTTTCGTGATTCTCAATAATTTTTTTCAATAAATATAATTATCTAACTTGTTCGATTAATGACCTATTAATTTTGTAAACTAATTGATGCAGTTTATTGTATGATTTTCACTATAAAGGGTTTTACAAAAACTACGACACGTGTTTCGCTATACAATAGCTTTCTCAAGCATGGATTTTCATCAAGTATCGGCCAGTTCTATTCAATAATTCATTTTGTAGAAATTCATATTGAATATAAGATATAGAAAATAACTTTTTCCTGATTTCTACTGATTTTTTGTTATTTTTTACGACCGGTTTCGGTTTGTTAGACCGAAGTTCACTTGAAAATGATTTAACAAATGAAGAAAATCAGTAGAATTCAGACAAAAGTTGTTTTTTTATTCTATACATAACTACGTAACTTTTCGTGTAACATTCCTATGTTTGTAGATCCTGTTAGTCATGAAGTAGTCATTGGTACCTTGCCAAGTTTTAAGCTACATCAATTTGGAAACAAGCTGTATTATTTTGGAGCTATTTATAAAGTAGGTATCTCCAGATTTAAGTAAAATCTGTACGGAATATTTCAATCTCCATTGGAATTCGATTTTTCCAAAACCTATCAATAAATGAGAACGAACAATAAATTTTTCTTTGACATTAAAAAAAAAACTATAAATGGAAATTTTCGTACTATTTCAAAACATCACAACGGTAAGAAAATAAAATCAAATGTTTGTAATGGTACGCAAATTTGTGGAAAGAATTATAACTGAAAAGACGAAAAATGTGGTGCCCATAGTAGATGACAAATAATAAATTTTCACACATACGAAATCAGAAAATAGCAAACAATATCTACTAGAATTCCTTGTTTTTTTAGTATGAAGTATGTAGTCTAGAAGAGCGCACTGCACGAATTTAGGTTAAACAGAAAGAACATCATGGTAATATATTATGTGTTAACTATCAAACGACCTCTCTACATAAGAGGATGTACTCAACTGATTTCCCAAAATAACATTTTCTCTTTTCAGAGAGTTTTTGATTTTCAACCTTTTTTTTTATTCAAATTTGGTGTACCTACGGTAACCTAATTACTGATTTTTTGTTACTCCATCTGTTTTCATAAGGCAGATTTCCAAATTAGTTAATTTTTTGAGGTTGTGGAGTGTTGAATATTCATCAACCACTCAGTGATCGTTCACAAAATAACTTCACTTTACTGATGAAAAATTTCAATTCACCGCAAATAATGGACATTTCTGGATAATAAAGAAACCTGATCGCGATCAATAGAAATTTCACAGTGCAGGTCACTTGAAATGACCTGCACATCATTAGTTCTCAGTGGATGTCTTCAAGAACAGACTTAACAACAATTGTATTACTGGTTTTTTGACAATTATTACTTGAATAATCTATTCTCACCTTGTCACCTTGTTACAAAAAATAGTACTTGTTTGTGTAGTAGAAGATAAGCATAAAGCCAAAAGCTACATTTTCTATTAATAATTCAGTCATCAAAAAACTAGATCAAATTTCCATAGTTATCAGTATGGTTGGGTAATGTAAATTATTCAAGTAAGGTTCGGAAAGCATTCTGTTTTAGTAAAAAAATATATTTTCAGGGAGATTACAACCAAGCCATGCAATTCTGTAATTTTCATGATATGCAGGTGGTCAGTATTGAGACTAAGGAAGAAAATGATTTCCTATGGACAAGCCTCAAATCTTTTCGTAAGTTTTCGTTTCATAACATGTAAATACATACACATTCTCGAAATGTGTTTTGCCTACCATTTCATGATGATCCACTACTAGAAATGCACTTTTCTGAATGAGAAAATGCTTTAGAAGAACAAATTGTAATTACGGCATATTTGAAATGGTATCACCAACAACTCCTATAGTTTAGCCTTTGAAATGAGTCTGATCTTGTGTGCCAAAGAATAGGTGAAGAAGAAATGTATTTTCAATAGATTAGTTTCACGTTAGAGGTTCCGAATTCAACTCATTCAGTACAAATGATGAATCATGGTTTTTTACCTGTGGCCTAGAAACTAAGCGGAAATCAATGCATTGGAAGTCATTTTTGGACAAGGTTACTGTCAGTTTTGATGTTTTATATTCATGCATCTTCACGTTGATATCAAAAATTGTATCCAAGATGAAGCATTACAACCAGCCATTCATTTTTCAGTTGCATGGGGAGAATTTAGGTTTTGGACTTCAGGGACCACTACCAAAGAACATCTCTGGTTCTGGATGTCAACCGGCAAACCCGTAACTTGGGCAAACTGGTTTCCCAACCAGCCTGACAACACTGTTAATGAAAATTGTATAGAGGCCGTTTATCTGAATACGAATGGAGCTCTATTGTGGAACGACGACGTTTGTTCGAAATCGAACTTTGTTATTTGTGAAACAACTATACCAAAAAGTATTTTAAAAATGGTACCTGGGACTTCAACAAATTTTTGTAATATAACATTCATAAGCCTGGCGACATGAGCTATCAAGTTTTCTTGTTTGAAATTCTCCATAATAGGGGTATATTTATATATATTAATAGATTTTCAATTGACGACTGAAGGAAGTATATGGAAGGTAGGAATTAACGGGACTTTCAGTCAGACACGTTTAAAAAATATACTTACTCTATTTTACAAATCGCCAAGCTTTTGTATCTGAATAAAGACTTCGTCAGGACACTAAAATGAAATACAATTGAAAAGAACTTAAGAAAATGGACAATACTCACAAGTGATCTGAATTCCACAATTGAAAATTAATTATTAATGAATTTTTTTTCCAAAATTGGAGCATTGATTTTAAAAGTGTCATAATTTTCAGATATTTGATATTAGTAATATCATGTTCAAAGCTTACTATAATGACAAGTTATTGGAAATATTAAAACACAGTTTAAAGATTCTACACCTGATTTGAACAAATCAAACATTGTTTACAATATACCACGTAATAATTGTGATTTAAATTATATTGGAACAACTTCCAGAACATTTGATCAAACAAAAGTTTCATATTAAAAAATATGTCCAAGAGGCTTTTCAGAAATTGTCCTAATTGTTTTTTACTTGATAAAATACACAGTTATTGATTATCCAGAGGTAGACTTATTTATTGTCTTACTGAAAATGATAATGATGAAAGATTTATCTGAATATAGTACCCTATAAAAGAGAGGGCAACAAAATTTATATTATTTATGGTTGATGTGCAGGATTATGTTATGAATTTATTCTAGTGAAATATCAAAAGTATTTGTATTTTGAAGTTTGTGTAAGTTCTTATACATATCAAGATATTACTGAGGTGATCAATATCTGATCTTTTGTTAAGACAATTTTCTGGCTGTAATATAAATGACCGTTCCACGAACAATCTTTTAGAATCCTTTTTTCCAATTGTTAATGACTTTGTTGGATTAACGTCCATTATATGACCTTCTTTCAATACATGATTACTGAGAGCACATCTCTCAGGATGTGATCTACTATCACTTTTGTGCGAACTGATTCTATCTTTGAGTAATCTTGATGTTTGACCAATATATTCACTTCCACAGTTTATACATGGAATTGAATAGACTAATTTTCAATGAAAAGTTGTAGGAGTTTTATCTATAAGTTTTGAAAACCATTCATTGATAATTAATATGGTTCTGAGAACTATTTTAACGTTTAGATTTCTGAAAATTCTGTATAACTCAGGTGTTATTATACAAAAGAAGTAAAGCTTCGAGAAGTAGGGACAGATATTTCTTTCTAAAATGGACTTTTGGTATAATTTGTTTTTGTGGAGTTAATATTTATGATAAGCCATTTAGTTTCCTGAGTTAATTAGGACTGTATAGTAAAATTCTTCGAATATTAATGGTGGTTTGATATATTTCTCATTAATAACTGACTCCCTCGAGTCAGTTAATAGTCGCAAAAAATCAATAGATTGATCTGAGTTGTGGAATTAGATTAGGTTGTAGCCATAATTATTTTCAAGGAAGATATCAGTTTCTTGCACTGAGAGTGTCTATTCCCAATGTCATTGTCATCATGTAGCTTTTTGTTTAATTCATCTCCCACTGTTCTTTATTGTAGAACTTTCGTTTTCACCGGCGGTATTCTTGACACGCCTGAATCATAAAATGTAACCGTGGATTCAATTCACATGAATCTCTTTTTTTTTAATAGGTACATTGAATCTACTCGCTTCATTCTAGTGTGTCTAATAGATTCAAAATATTTTACATCCTGATTCGTTGAGATCATTAAGATCAATGGCAAACAATTTATATTGTTCAAATAGAGTTATATCACATACAAAGTCAATTCGAATTGCAGAAAAACTAAATAGTTACCGAACGTTGGCAGTTTCTTTGTGTGGCATGGGCAGCGTGGTATATCATACGAGGTCTAATCATTTTTTTTATGTGAGAGGTTTTATATATAAATAACTAGTAGATTTATCGGACCCGGTACATTAGTATTTCATTTAGCTATTCGGATTGACTTCGTAAAGAATAGACTATACACCTGAACATAGGTACCGTAATGAACAAAATGATCGGAACTTCATTCAACTGTGAATAAAGCATTAATCATTTAGAATGAAATAAATCCATTGAATGTAATCAAAGGTAGAAGCTAGTGATTATGTGAAATAAAATTTGATTCATAAAAGACGTTTATAATAACAAAGGATGAAGGAGAAAAAAAAGTCTTTGTAATAACTGAAAAAGTATCGATATAAAATTGTATATGAATTATTCTCGAATTGAATCTAGATTCCGACTGGAGCTCAAACCACTAGTTTTCAAACTCATCAGGTATTATAATGGACATTTTTTTCCAGTTCAGATGTATATTAGCTGATTTCGATATAATCAGATTGATTCAAGAATTATTAGAGTTGAAAAAATAGTGATGCATATTTTACTCATCGCTATTTCAACAGTTTGAAGGTGATCTGCTGTGATATGGAGCTCAAAAATAAATATTTTTTATTTTATTTTTTGTCTGGCCTCGACGAGGTCATGAGAGTGTAGCATTTTTGGATAGTAGTAAACTGACTGATGGAAGTGAACAAGGAAGTGAACAAGAATTGCGAATATTTGAATTATGAATACATAATGAAGGTATAATGAAGTTTTTTTTGGTAACGCACGGATATAACTTTCCTAAATTCTAAAATTTGACATGTTTTTATAGTTAGTATGTGAACTTTTGACTAATTACATTTGGAAGTAATTCCTAATGTAATCAGAAACAGCAATTTCACTAATTCATAAAAATGTCTGAAAAGTTTTCAATCACTGTAGCTAATATACAAATTGAAAATACGTTTCCCACACCAGAACGAAAATATTGTCTCTCGATGTACATGTAGTAATTTTCATTACAAATAATAACAAAATAACACAATTTGAAATTTGAGTAATATTAGGAATTAATTTGATGACCTCCATTATATAAGGTAATAGTTCATCCAGGTGCATATAAAAACATTAACATAGCTGTAATATTCAATTTTGGTTGTCGCCTGAAGACGCTAATTTGGTTATCATAATGTGCGTCGAGAGAAAATAGTTTTGTTCTGGTGATTAGCAACCGTGGTTGATAACTTTTCAAATATAAATATGAATTAGAGAAAAACTAGCTTGAATAGTAAAATGTGCGACGAGAGAATGTATTTTTGTTCTGGTTTGGGTGAAGTATTTTCAATAGATTCATTACACGCCAGGGGTTCCAATTCTACTTCTCTCTGTGGCTGAACTCTTTAATGTATTTACTTTATTGGTAGGTTTTCAATTTTTACATTTTACCAAAACCACGCTACTAATAACAAAATAACACAATTTGAAATTTGAGTAATACTAGGAATTAATTTGATGACCTCCATTATATAAGGTAATAGTTCATCCAGGTGCATAAAAAAACATTAACATAGCCGTAATATTCAATTTTAGTTGTCGCCTGAAGACGCTAATTTGGTTATCATAGCGTAAAATGCGCGTCGAGAGAATGTATTCTTGTTCTGGTTTGGGTGAAGTATTTTCAATAGATTCATTACACGCCAGGGGTTTCAATTCTACTTCTCTCTGTGGCTGAACTCTTTAATGTATTTACTTTATTGGTAGGTTTTCAATTTTTACATTTTACCAAAACCACGCTACTTGTTTCACTATTCTATAAAAGCTATTTCAGACATGTTCAGTACTGAAACACGTGCCGCGTTTTCACTTTTCGGTGGAAATCTCACATTAAAAGATTATTTCAATACGTTTTAATGGATTTCCAACAAATATCAATCGGTTCTTTCTATTCCGTTATTGGAATTATCTCATGTAGAGCTCCGATTTGAAGTTTTTCCATATGGAAATATTAGACTTTTCACTGAAAGACAACCATCTGCCAAAGAAGTCAATGAAAAATGCAGAAGAAGCTTTCGAACGCTACATATTTGTTGACAATATTGTAGCCTGCTTCCATTGTATGTCACATATATTTGCAATAACGCAATCGATAAACATGGAGAGTCAAGAGCCGTTGCGCTTGATATCTCTAAGGCCTTTAACCGTGTGTGGCATGAAGGTTTGCTGGCCAAACTTTGATGCTATGACTTGTTGAATCATTTTTGTATATGACTCTACAGCTACCTGAAAAAACGTTTCCTGCAAGTGGATGGATATCTCTCGAATACTTCAACTATTACCGCTGGTGTTTCCCAGGGATTCATATTGTCTACAACCCTCTTTTTATTGTATATCAACGACTTATTTAAAAAAAACAAAAATCTAATATATTGCTTTGCTGACGACAGCACACTTGTCTCGTCATTCCATTAGGATTCCAGGACATAGGCTGCGGATGTACATCTTCACAGGCAGCAGGAGGTTGCATATGACTTGTTGGATCATTCTTGTATATGACTCTACACCTACAGCAAGTTTGCTGGCCAAACTTTAATGCTATGACTTGTTGGATTATTTTTGTATATGACTCTACAGCTACCTGAAAAAACGTTCCCTGCAAGTGGCCGTCGATGGATATCTCTCGAATACTTCAACTATTAACGCTGGTGTTTCCCAGGGATTCATATTGTCTACAACCCTGTTTTTATTGTATATCAACGACTTATTTAACAAAACAGAAATCCAATATATTGCTTTGCTGACGACAGCACACTTGGCTCGTCATTCCATTAGGATTCCAGGACATAGGCTGCGGATGCACATCTTCACAGGCAGCAGGAGGTTGCATATCTTAATGAAGATCTAGAGGTGATTTCGAATTGAGCATCGCTTTTTTCCAAGAAGATAAATGTCTCCGAACCGGATATGATAATGTAAAGACAGACAATTCCGCTTTCTGCTTCGATAAGTTTGTTGGGAGTTAAAATGGATACCAATATGTCTTGGCACAATCATGTCGCTGGAATTGCAAAGGCTGCTTCTCAAAAGCTTGGAACACTGTTCCGAACCAGAAAACTGTACAAACTTCAGCAATTTCTGATGCTTTATAAAGCTCAGATCAGACCTTCTTTGGAGTATTGTCCTCATGTAGATCCAGAAAAGAGCCATTCGCCTGATTGGAGATACTTTCACGGGGGGTGTTTGACTGGCTTGGTACATTCGATTCCACCAAGAGCGGTACATATCAGAAATACGCGACGGACTGTGGCTGCTCATCGTTTTGGGGTTCAACTCAGTACACCTCGAACTTCACAGTTCAGAAACTCTTTCATTTGGAGAACTGCGTTTAGGTGGAATAAACTTTCTGAATCCAACGTGAATCGCTACTTTCGCACAGGCACCGCTCTTACAGCGCCTTAAGGATTTTCCTGTAGTGATTGTATTCCATCTTTAAAAAAATCTGTTTCACAGAAACGCATGAATGATAACAGTCATTTCTTCAATCCTTCAACTCCAATCGCGAAAATAAAATTCACAACGTAAGAAACCAATATAACAATGACATTTTTTCACCTCGCAATTACAAAAATCAGCAACAAATATAATTTTGCAATTTACCACAAACCGACTTATACAGGCACAACTATCAACTACCATTCTAATTCCTCCCATAAGAAATTAGCATCTCATCATAGCATAATCCACAGACTCATCAGTATCGCGATTTCCTTCGTTTTTTGCAAAAGAAAGGTCCAATAGTAGCTTATTTTAGAAATATTTCAGTTGTTTCAGTCAATTCTCAGAAATGAATATGTAGAAGGAAATCTAATTAAACTCCGAGTTGCAACGGACCATCATGAGGCCTCGTTCATCATTGATATTCATCAATGACTATTTTTTCGATCCTATGGATGGTGCTCTAAAGGAGAATAAAATTTAAAAAATCTCTTGATCCAAAAAAGTTGTTGATCTC